GAACATTTCAGGACACATTATCATTACAAAGGATCCTATGACTGTTTGAAACGGATATGTCAGGACGAAGGGGTTTCTGCGCTCTACAAAGGATTCGTTCCGTCATACATACGATCAGTAATTTTACCATAAATTTTTTGTTAACGTGAAGTTCAAAACTCACTGATCCCGATTAGATGCTTGGTACTCGTCCCTGTTTTTTTTTTGTCTGTTAAAATAAGGTAGAATTTTCTTTTAGTTCTAACTCTTCCTAATAACGTTTGTTTGCGAAGTCTTGAAATTAATCTCCCAAAATTATTTTTCGTTCGAATTTTTTGTTAAACTGTTTTTCATGTGTGGCTTGGGGCCATTTCAGTGACCTTCGAAAGATGCATTCAAACAGTGGCTTAAAAGTGTCGCTCAGGATAATAGTGGCGAATAATTTCTTACTGATATTGAATCTCGACTTGACATTTCGGGATCTTGTTAAATTTGATGTTATGGTTCAGCAGTGTAATTTTTTCAGGCACCATGGTCCCTTGTATTTTGGCTCACGTATGAGGAATTGCGACATTTAGTTGGTATTTCGGGTTTTTAAAGGTTTTCGTTTTCGACTTGTTGTTTTCATTTTGCTTACGTAATCTTACCTTAGAAATTACGTTTTAAAAAAACGCTAAATAGTTCCACAGAAGATCGCCTTGCTTGCCTAACTGTGGTGTAAGAGTGGTGCCTGCCGGAAGCAAAATTTTGAAGCTGTCACACAGAAATATTCAAAACAGAAAATCGTCTCTGAATTGCACTGGCTTGTTCGGCAACATCAGAGGTTTCTTGCTGAAGTCTGGTCGCCACTGACTGGAAAATTTTTATTTTGTTATGCTGCATTGCAATTTCTGTTTTTTGAATTAAAACTTTCAGTTCTCATTAGTTCCGGAAGTCAGGGTACGATGACAGTTCAGTATTCATTTTGGAAATGCGATTTGGATAGCGATCTCATTAAGTTGATATTCTTTATAGTTGCCAATTGTGAAATTTAATCATAGATAGAATTATGCGAACGTCAAAATAATGTTTTAATCTGGACCCGGAAACCATGTTTTTATGTATATTAGAAAACGGTATGACTCTGTTTAAAGTTGTTATTAGATGCAGATTTAATGCGGCATTCGGTGTGCGTGAAATGTGGTGATTTAAGAAGCACTGCGTAAAAATGACAGCATTAGATGTGTGTGGAAAACCATGCTTGGAGGGGTGGTGGTCTTATCAGAAATACAGGGAAAGTGATATCAAAATTTAAGTTACAAACTTAAATGCGTTTCAAAAGCAATGGTGCGAGGCGTATGTAAAAATGACCAGTGGGAGAGTGTAGAAAAATCCGATGTTACGTTGATAATGACTGGAGTGAATGAGAAAATCAGTCATCTTTGGTATGAAAGAGTGTTTAACAACACTCATTCATATCACGATAATTGATTTGTAGGAAAACGACGCCGAGAGTAAGGAAGAAAGCAAGCAGTCAAAATCAAGGGGTGAATGGTGAGGCTAAAAGTGCAACTTTGTCCAGCCGTGTGTTGCTCCAGTAAATTTTCGTTGAATGACAGCTTTGTATTGTGGTGAGTGAGTGGCGCCGAGTTAGTTCGAATTCGTCGATATTATATCAGAGAAGATTTGCAAAAATTTTTTTTACGTGCTTTACGATGTTATTGCCTACGTAATGAGAGATTAAGCTTGCTTACAAACTTGCTTGCAAATTTAAAGCCCATATTGTTGTTGTTTTCTGCGTCTTCGGAGACTATCCCAGTGTTATTATCTAATAAAAAATGTCCTTTGTAAATAGCGAAATCAAACGTAATCGCGAGAAGTAACAAATAATCAATAAGCATGCGCAAGAAAACAGTCCGTTTAATTGTGCAATTTTTTTTTTAGGAAATAAACTGTTTTTGTTAACCTGAATTGCCTTTTTCAGTCACATCTACAGACATTTCTGCAACAACCTCCAGAAGCATGTTCCCGATGACGATGCTTATGCAGCAGTGAGATAGTTTTAACTTTAGCCTCATCCCTGTTTGAGGAAAGACTGCACAATATTCGTGATCTGGGACCACGGATTCCCGGACGGTCGACCGAAGTTCTGCAGTGCCTTGGGCAGCTGCTTCAGAACAACCTGCTCCCATGTGTTGTCGATTCCATTCTCGGCCCCAATCAGACTAGTTATACCGCCATTTCCGGTCCATCGTGCCGGCGGCGCTTTCGGCAGCGGATTCGATGTAGAGTCTAAAATCGTGGGCAGTACAAGACAAAAATAATTTCGATAAAGCATTCAGAAATTTCTTATTTTGCTCTGTGGAAAATAGAGGCGTCTAGAGGATGGCCATGTTTGCCAGCATCAGCCAAGCGCTTGTAAAATTGCTGATTCTTCTTGCGAGGGTTGCTTATGAAGCAAGCTACACAGTAACTAGTACTACTTTGCAATCGGATGAAAAGGGAGCAGTTTTTTAAAATATCTTCACTACTGTAGGTGGAAGCGTTGTCAAAACTTTAATTTTCTGAAAAGTTTCAAGCCGCCGGACACAGCAAAACTGCAGAAATAAGTAAAATAATTTGGGAGCATTACCATGAATATATCGGAGTGTGAAGTTGGCTGGGCCTTTTGAAGCAATCGACATAATGTACACTTGACTGGTTGCCGAAATAATGTCACCAGGCGCAGCATTGCAGCATTGTCTGCAACGTATGCGACTGCACCAGAAAACGAATATCAAATTTTTTTTGTCTTGCAATTGTACTATTGGATTTTTTTTTTTTTTTTGAATATATTTGTATTAAACATATCCACCTACTTCAGTGTCGCTGCGCTGAAGCCAATGACGCACGAATGCGAAACCTGCTCACTGACGAAGTTGGAGAAGCGAATGCCGACTTTAGCGTTCGATTCTCCAACTTCGTCAGAGAAAGCGAAGGAGCGAGCGATGCTTCGCAGTTATAAAAGCAATCAGACCTCCCGTCGAATAAGCAGCTTGCTGAATATCAAAAACCCGATTAACTGGCGGGGTCCGTCCTTAGACCACAATGAAAACATTTCTGCCAGCATATTTATATTGGTATGGAGGTGACTCGTCATTGTCTAAAAATAACAGCAGTCGGAACAAGGTTGTGGTACTTAGTACACGCAACAGGTTTTGTGGGACTGCGATCTTTCTTCTCTTCCAAAAGCCTTGGCCACCTAACGAATAAATTCTCACTCGTTTTCTTGCATTATTCGTCAGTCATGTAAAGAGAAGGGGGACCTGAATCCGGTTTGCTGAAGATCTATTCCGTGCTTGATTTCGAGGTAATTGTCTGCACATGATGAATCACACAGGTACGTCGCATCCAGTACTTCTAAATGCACCTTACCACCAGGGGGTGCCTGAAATCAGGGCATAAGTGGAATGACAAATATCTGAAAGCATATTCATAAGCTTCCCGGAACGATGGGAGTGCAGTGTCTTGCAATTTCCAACAGAGAGGTTAAATCCGATTGAGGGGTCGCAGTGGAAAAGTGAGGTAGCGTATTGAGGAAGAAGTGCCCAGTGCTTGCATCTCTAACAACCAGCCATGCGGGAAGCTGGGAATGTCCACTACTGTAAATTCGAAAACGATTTGTAGGCGAATGTGTCACTTGCTATTAGCAG